TAGGTTTTCCTGGTCAGAGGTTACACTTGTGTCCCCCAGATGAAAATTAAACATGGTCAAAAGTGTATCCAAAGGGTTCATAGCATAACTGCCAACTGGTCGCATAACCAATGAGAGTTGAGACTCCTGAGACCTCTTAAGAATCTTATGTACTCTGGCAGTCTCATGGTAGGAAGAAATATCTGTGCAGAAGGATTTCAATGAGTTTTATTTAGTTCCTGATTTCACTTTTAAATTTCCTTTGTAGGATTTTAAAGTTAGACCAGCTAACTTCAGATTTATTTCTGACTGCTTTCCCATGAGCTCTCCAAATCTCTAGGCGGAGGCTTTCAAGCTCATTGATCCACCAGACTCTCTTGCTAGAAGAGAAACCTAGCTTCTTACTCTCTCCTCCCACTCTAGCACTCAACATCCAACCAAATATCCATTAATGCAATACTAAATAATCCGTCAAACAATGTGTTTTCCCCGTTGAGATGCAGTTCAAATAACCATTCCCAATTAAAATTTGTATCTCTGCCACTTCACTTTCGCAGCTGTCAGATAAATCAAATCCTTCTTGGCAGAGCTTGTTTATGATTTCTCGAGATGGCCTGGGTAATGCATTGGAACATAAAGTTTTTACTTCGAGTGCTTCGATGATTAGAGTAAACCCATGCTTATTTTTTAATGTGTTTTTTCCTTTTAAAGTCTTGTACTAGCGGATTCGAAGATGCAAATGTATGAATTCTTAATCTTTCTTTACCAATAGTTGGTAAACTTGCTTTTCTGGAAATAGACTGACAAACATAAGTTTTTTGGAAGCTGAGTCGCACAACAGCCTTACAAATGTGGAATTATTTCCAACTAGTTGGCCTCTCAATGTTTGATAATAAATCACGTCATCAGGAATTTGCTTGCTCAATGTTTTAAGAAATAGTGAACTGATGCTTGTCTCTTTTACAGAGCCGGCATCATTCTTTATGGACTTATTTTCTTGCATATTTGCATCACACAGGCTCTCTAAATGCGACATAGATTTTCAAATATTACATTTAACCCACTTCGCCTTACAAAATGGTTTTTTGTGATCTTTTGTTAAACAGTATTTGCACTTAAATTGATCATATAACACATTGTGTTTCTCTGAAATACTTAAGTTGCAGTCTTTTGAGAGGTGAGATTTAAGACAAAAGTCACACATATAATTTTTGACTAATGTATTAAGTGTTGCCGCTGATGCCATTTTCTTTTTAATTGGAGCAACACTCTTATGATAGTTGTCAGTATGTCTTTCGCTTGTTATCGAAAGTGTTTGTTGTTTAAGACCCAGAGTTAATGATTTTTCGCACGCTTCTACTTCTCTCTTTAGAAACAACAATAAATCTTCACTGTTGACTCTGTGCCGACCTTTTGCTCCCTGCTAAATTGTAACACTAAATCTTGCAGTATATACTTATATAAAATAGGAAGTAATAAATTGCCATAAGAATTAAAATTAATATCTAATTTTTCTAAACTTCTTGTTTGAACTGTTATTTCATCATATAGTTTTCTTAAACTGGATACATCACTTGAACGACGTACTGGCTCCAAAGCTAGGAGAACGTTCATATGCAAACTAATATTTCTTTTTTCTCCAAATCTGTCAGTTAAAATTTTAATGGCCTTTTTACAGATTTTCTCCTTTTAATGGCAAACCGCTTATAGCTTTTGCAGCTGAACCGGTGAGTAAAGATCTTAAATAGTTAAATTTCTCATCTTGAAATGTACTGTTTTTGTGAATGGCAGCTTTATACTGAGCCCAAAATTCAGTAAACTTACACGAATCGCTGAAAGTTTCTAAGGTAATGCGAGGTAATTTAGTATTATAATAAGTTTTGATTTCCAAAACTTGTGACGTTGTTCCAGTTTTACTCCCATTTTGAATATATCTATCGACTTTCAATTTACATCTAATAATTGATTTGCTGTATTCTAAACAATGTTCTACCTCTATCTCTAGTTCTTGGACAGTGCTTTGAGCATTAATAACTTCATCATATTTTAACAAGTTAGTTTCACTCTCAATTAACACTGAAAGCAATTCCTGCAACAGTTCTAGGTTCAGATTCTTGTTTTGCAATTCCTCTTCTAATTTCCTTATTAATTTTTTTAGACTGGTACAAATCAAACATCTAATTTTTCTATTTCTCTGTAACGTTTCTTCAAAACTCATTTTCAAAGATAAATTGCATGCAGATAAAAATGAAATGACTCACCTTTTAGCCTGATGCTACCAAATCTTTTGTGAAATAACTTGTTTAATATTCCATTATCAGTGGTTCTTGTAATATATTGGCTCAAATAAAGACACTTTCCTTTAACTAAATCTACTTAATGAAGAGAAGACTATGTACAAGTATTATGTACAGATTACAGGATATCTAGTTTATACCACTTTCAACCACTCTGATCAATCTATCAACTCTCTCTGGTAAAACTCTTAATTAGCTAAACATACAGGCGGCACAGAGTCCTCTATCTCTTTTTTCTACATATATAAAAGGAAGAGTCTGTCTGCGTTAATAGACCCAGGGCTACGAAATTTGGTACATAGGTTCATCTAGACAAGAGCTAGTGCACTTCAAAGCGATTTTGTCAAAATTCAAATTAGTTTTTTGTTTTTGATGAACTCGAATCAAATCAGTAATTCTATCTCATTGTATCAGCAACAATGGCACACAGGCATTGTTGCTGATATATCACTGTTGCCATTGTTGCTGGTATTAGCACTGTCACCACTCAGAAAAATGAGGGCAATAATTCTGTGAAGTTTTTAAATTTAATGCTTCTCTTGGATATTGGACATTTGTCGAGAGAAGGCAATAGATGTTGGTTAATTTATTTATTAGGATAATTAGTATTTGTATTAAGGGATACTGCTTATTTCATTGTAAATTTTTAATATGTAATATATTTTTATTATTTATTTATTTATTTATTTTTTTGATAAATTTGTTTTGCAGAGTGAAATTTTGCACAGTTTTTAAATGTAATGTTTGGTGTTCCCTTTAGACATTTTTCCAGTATATTTAAGCCAGATGAAGGCTGGCTTTGTAGCAGCTAGTATTTTATGAAATTTTTAACATCATCTTAAAATAGATGTATTTCTAGGCACACCTGCAAATAATTAGAGCTTTTTATTAAAAAGTCTCTAAGATATACATGACTTTACATATTGGCACATTTTAAAATTTGGCTTTAAAAAATATATATATGTCATAATATTAAAAGCACAAGGAAAAGACGGAGCAGTGTCAATGCTTGATTAGATCCATATTGAAGAAGAATTTTGATTGCATAGTATTTAAAGAACTTGGCAGTCGAGGCAGTTTTAATTCCATTTTTATTTCCAATTGATATTTGTGGCCACAATCACTTGGCACTCTAGTCACGCCTTTCCACAGAAGATTTACATTTTTGATATTGTTGGGATAGAAAGCAAGCCAGCGAAATTACATTTTAGCACGGTAGAGAGCAAAAGCTGAAGTGCGTAGTTATGAAAGATGGAAGCACGCGAAGAGAAAAGTTTTGGTTTAGAAGGACAGTTTCAGTTCTTAATTATTACCTCATCAGAGTTGCGCGGGCCATAGAGTGATCTAGAAATGACGCAATGCAGAGAAGTTATTACGATTTTAGAATAGAGAGGAAGAATTAATGTTTTTAGTTATATTATAATTCTGATTCATACAATTTATCTTACATATATATATATATAATAACGCCAAATGTGGTTTAAGCACTTTGTTAAAATTATTTGAAAGTAGGAACAATGACTTTTTTCCGCTCGGCCACAATGAAAAAAGGAAAGGAAAATAGGTTGCTATAAATAAGAAGTTTGCCGAGTGAATTATTCTTGGCACAAACTGAAAAAAAAAGTGCCATAATAAAGTTTTGAATTTCTCCATAAATTTCACACCAAATTTTACATTTCTCCATAAATTTTGCACAAAATTTTACAAAATTTAATATTTAGGCATAATTTCAATCGTAGAATTAAAATACAAAAAACAAATTGGCATGTCATTTCAGAAAAAAATCCGATTTTGTGTCAAAATACCTATGTTAGAATAATTCTATTTATAAATCTAATATATATATACTAAGTTGCACTTTTGAGACATGAAAAACGCATTTTGAATTTCGTCAATCAGCCCAGTTGAACGGGAGTTACAGAACTGCCCCATTTTCTTTGTGCAGTGTACATGCAAATGGCATGCTCAAAATTTTATGCAAGGTATGTAATTTTGGGGGCTTGTTGTTAGACCAGAAGACTGTAATTCTAAATGAAAGTAATTCCAATTCTGAAAATTAACAGAAATGCATAAAACTGTTTTGTGATGAAGCAATTCTCTCTCTCTCTCTCTCTCTTTTTTTTTTTTTTTTTACATAATCATAAAAATTTAAATTAGTTCACACTGTAATTTTTATTCAACTCTCTAAATTGTAATTATTTAAAAATGAAAAATTCAAATGAAAAGCAATTAAGTTATAGAAATTTCTAAAGAAATAAATAAGAATATTAAAATCTGAAGTAATTCTGAATAGTAAAAACTTTACATACATATTTATATGTTGAAACACTAGAATTCCATTAAAATGCTGCAAAATCTACTACAATTGCAAGTACTTTCTTTACCCTGAAATATTTAATTCATTTGCCAGATATCATTTTTGCTTATTTTGAAATCAAATAGCTCTATTTCATTTACTACTCTTTAAATTTTAATGCTCAGGAGATATAAACATTAGAATTTTAATGCAAAGGAAAATATACCTTTAGCAAGTCAATGAAAAAAAAAAAGTGTGCTTTTAAAATTTTAATAGAACAAAATGAAAATTTTTCAAATTTTGCTTAACCTATTATTCCACTAAACCTATTATTATCTATGTTATTAGTCATACATAAATCACAATAATTAAATAAAAATCTTCAGTAGTTAATACATGCAATAAGAAGTTTTAATAAAAAAACAAACCTCTTATTCCTATGTTCCATAATACATCAGCTTGTAATGTACTTGTAATCTGCCGAGGAAGAGCACGCATAAGGCGCCTACGAACAAATTTTCCAGCTGATTCCCAAAATGAAGAACCCTACATTCAAAACAAATTTACTTATTTACTTTAATAACAATATGCTCACTTTAAACCTTTATCAATTGTAGACTCACGATAAGAAGTTTCATATTAATTTTTAAATCAATAAATCTCAAAATACGAATAATAAAAAACTTAAATTACTCAATAAATTATCATATGTACAGATTTAGATTTACACAATAAATTTAACAACAAATTGGGCAAAATTCCAAAATTAAAATTTATAAAGAATCATATTTGTACACAGTAAATTTTTTTATATTTCGGCAGCAAATTTAATTTCAAGAATTAAAGAAAATATAAAACATTTTCTTCTCAATTTATTGTTTACCAAATTTATTTAAGAAAATATTTTAGCCAAGATTATTAAATTACACTTGAAACATATACCTGTATACTGTGGTGTTAAATGCTGAAGTTAGTTTGCAAAACATGTATGAAAACATGGTATTTTTTCACAGAAATGTTTTACAAATTAAAACTACATTTAACTTTATTTGTAGTGTAAAATATACTGCATTCTCACCAGTGAAAGACTTGACCTCTCTGATAGAAGACGAGAAGAATACCATTTCTGAAAGTGCTGACAAGACTCATTACCTTTATTTCTAATTGCATCCTCATCCCACAAAGCCGATTTTCCTAGAAATATTCAAAATAAATATACGACACATATGCAAAGTAAGTTAATATATAAAAAAATGTGCTAAAAAAGAAAAAAAAAAAGAATGAGTTTTTTTTTAATTAAGTTTATTTAAAAAATGTTCACAAGATAGACTAGCAGATAAGAAAAACAAAATCTGAGAATTTCATAATTATACTAAAAATGATTTCAGAATAAAATTAAATCCGAAATATTTAAATTATTGCCACAATGAAATGACAGAATTCTTCTAAACGTGCTAAAATGTGCGTATTGAAATATAAAGTTGGAAGAAATTAAATTATAGTCGGTCTTTGTACAACATTTGCTCTACTTGATGATTAAAAAAAAGAAAAGATATGCAGGTTGATAAAAAGTTACAAACATGATAAAAATGATAAAAAAAAAAGATTAACAGAAAGTATCCAAATAATCAGCAATTTCTGTAACATAATATGAAAGTAAATACATATGCCAGAAATTAAAATTTTTCTTTAATTCCAAATACTGGCATAAAATTTTTATGAAATTTAAACAGAAGTTATGAATTCATTTGCAATAACACCATCAAGTTTGTTACTTGGTAAGCACTTGTCATAAGACAAGAGTGTATTACATTAAATACAGATAGCAAAATTACATTTTGTAATTAAATGTCAAAATTCTGTAAAATTTAGTTCATCAATAGTACACACACATGAAGACAATTTTCTACAGACAGTATTGTTACGAAATGTACAGGCTTGGGGAGATGTCTTCCCCGCAAAGCAGTTTTAGGGTTGCCATAAAATGGCAAAAGAAGGCAGGGTTGCCACATTTGGCGAGAAATCACCCACTTGGTGACAAAATTGGCAATATACCACGGACGGATGGAGAACCTTCTGGAAGGAATTCTTACTGGTTTAGCCCAGAATGTTCTCGAACACAAGCCGAAAGCTATATAAACCCTGCTGGTCTGCAGTCAGTAGTATGTGCCTCGTTTAGCGAGCTCATAGTCAGTTATTGACAGAGTGCCTCGTCAAAAGAAAAAAAGTTAAGTCTCGAGTTTGACAGTCCGTGTGGAGTGGTTCAAGTTGACAGCCGGGCAGTGAGTGCCGAGTGGGTCGTTGAGGTCACTGAAGGTGTCTCTTAGTGTATCGCGGTTGGTGCATCGTCGAGAGAGCGTGTTGAGCTCTGGAAACGACTGAACCGAAGAGTCAGAAGCTGTGCGCTGAGTGCATTGCAAGTTTAGCGTGGAGAGTCTCGAGAGTACGTGGAGTTCCGAGAACGATCAAGCAGAGTCGGGAGCTGTACTCTGGTGCTCTTCAGTGAAGCTACCTCTACTGTTATTGCGTGACAGTGTAAAGGCTGTGTCGCTGATTGTTCCAGCATGTGTATAGTAGATCTTCGACGACTGTAAAACGTGACTTTGAAGCTGTCCTGATTAATATTGGCTAAATAAAGTGTGTTTCTATATTCCATCAAGTGCTGTCGTCGTTATTCACTACAAATCCATACGAACCCCATACGACCGTGAAGGAAGAAAATAACGTAACAACTGGTGTCAGAAAGAAAAACACAACAGTATCTTTCCAACTCCAAATTAATAAATACACTATTTCCATGCTGAAACACAGTCAGTTTAAAAATAGTTCTAACAAAATTTTCATTAATGTATGTGTAAAGATCGTGACTTGTAAAGATCATGACTTGTGAAGATCGTGACTTAAAGAGAACGTGAAATATAAATAATAGGACAAGAACTTGCATTTTACGGTGTGGCAACAAGAAGAGGATTCGAAAGATTTTTATATATATTTTTGTTTTAGAGAGTGGAAGATTTTTAGTATTTTTTAATAGTTGTAAGAGTTTTGAACTGTAGTAGTTAAGAGTTAAAAATTTTAATAGTTTAGAGCTGCTGCATTTATTTTTTTGGTTCTGTTCTAAAATTCAAATAAAAGTATTTTGTTCATTCTGAAAATTTAGCTTTGTTCTTCCTACAAGATTCAATATTCATTATATTTGAAATAAGGAAGGGATCTTTACTGGTGCAGTCGACAGGATCGGGATTTCACCGCATATAATTACGAACCAAAATAACTCAGGTGAGAGCTCAATTTACCTTGTAAACGTAAAATAATTAATTATGAAAAGCTAATTATTATTTCCGTCATGGAATCTTAGTTTATTTACTTGTCAAAGTAATGAATACGCCAGTGTTCAAATGTAATTTCGTTTGACTTGCCAGAGTATTAAGTATTAATTCCACTGATTGATTTTCGTGCCGAATAAAATTAAATTCATTGTGAATTATATTTGAATAGAAAATAAGAGAGAATTTTTTTTTTTTTTTTTTAAAACTAAGAGTCTATTGGCTGAATAAAATCGAGACATGGCTTTTATGGGACGTGGGAAAAAAGAGGATTTGCTAGTTTTAGCTGCTGAATTAGAAATTCAAGTAGATCCAAGTATGAAAATCGTGGCGATAAAAAATGAAATTATTCAAAGTGATGCATATGATGAAGCATTTGCTAAAGAAGTGTTTTTAACGATTATTGAAGAGAGGAAAAGAAAAGAAGAGGAACAGCGAAGAAAGGAGAAAGAAGAGATTGAGGAACAGCGAAGAAAGGAAAAAGAAGAGATTGAGGAACAGCGAAGAAAGGAGAAAGAAGAATTAGAAGCACAACAGAAAAGAGAGCAAATGGAGTTTGAATTGAGGAAACTCGAAATTGAATCTCGTGTTCGACTAACACAAACTCCACCAACAAATGAAAATGGACATCATAATTTTGATTTAATTAAGCTTATTCCCAAATTCAATTTAAGACACGATGATATTGTGATTTATTTATCCTTATTTGAAAGACAAGCTAAAAGGACAAAGATTGATCCTAAAGATTGGGTTTCATGTTTATTGACTTTAATGCCATCTGAAATCATTCAATTAATTGGTAGGGAATCTGAAGAAAATTTTGAAGATTATGAGTACATTAAGGCCATTTTATTGAAGAGATTTAAATTAAATCCTGAAAGCTTTAGAAAAAAATTTGTGATGCACCAAAAGAGTGCTGAAAAATCATGGAGAGATTTTTGCTACGAAATTACAAGTTATTTTGAAGAATGGATCAATGGTCTTGAAATCACAAATTTTGCCGCGTTAAAAGACTTGATTATTACTGACCAAATTAAGAAAAGAGTACCCTATGAAGTAAGAGACCATCTTCTTGACGACTGGGCGAAGTTCGTTTCTCCAACCAAATTAGCTGATAAACTTGACGAATATGACAGTGTTCGTAATATCTCAAAACGGACTGGTGGTAATCCATCAGCAGACAGAACTAATAAAAAATGGCAACCTCATTCTCCACTTCCAGAAAGAGCTTTCAGAAATAAATCGCTGTCCGCTGAAAACACGCCAAGAGTGTACCCATCCCGTAAGAGTGACGAACCACAAAAGCCTAGTTTCAAACTAACTTGCTATAATTGTGGAAAAGAAGGTCATACATCTAAGTTATGTACCAAAAATCGGATACCAAGAAGTGCTTCTGCAACAGCACAAAACAACTTAATACAAACACAAGCACCCCTTACAGAAAAAAAAAAAACCAGAAGTGCTAACTGCCAAGATCTCTATTCCTGTCTCAAAATCAGTGGACGTGTCTAGAAACATAGATGAATTAAAACTTGTCAAAGTTAAATGTGGAGATATTATTTTAAATGGAATCGTAGACACGGGAGCACAAATCTCAGTAGTCCGTGAGAAATTGGTTGACAACATACCTTGCGAAGGAGAAAGTAAAATAGAGATATCTTCTGCTTTTGGTGAAAACGAAATTACTCCACTAAAGATTTTCCAGATGAAAATTGACGATGATTTTCACGGTAGAGTGTCCATTACGTGTGCTGTTTCAAAAAGCTAGTTACCGATTGCTATTGAGTTCTTCAGCTTATGAAACACTCTGTGGGAATATCGAACTGTTTAACTGTGATCGTTATTGGGATGCATCCCCCTTAGAGTACAAAGAGACAGATGATAAACCCTCACCAGTTGAAGATAATACTACAAATTTGGCTGTTGTTAATCAGATTTCCCAAGAAAACATAGAGTCTCTGAAAACAACGAACAGGGTAAGACTAGAATTCAAGACACATCAAGAACAAGACGAAACTTATACTTTCGATGATGGCATATTACTTCATTCCGAATATATCTGTGGTGAAAACATTAAGCAAGTTGTGTTACCTTTAGAAAAAAGAAGGGAAGTCCTAAGAATGGCACATGAAATCCCTCTTGCCGGCCACCTCGGTGAGAAAAAGACAATTCAACGAATCAAGTACTCATTCTTTTGGCCTACTATTAAGCAAGATGTTAAAAAATTCTGTGGAAGTTGTAAAGAACTGCCCTTTACAGAAATGGAGAAAACAGAAATGATAGAAGATAAAATTGTTGAACAGGAAGCACAGAAGGAAGAAATTATAACAGGAAGAAACTAAGAGGGTAGAAACAGAAGATGAACTCAAAGAGGAAAAGTTAATTGACAGCAAAATAACAGATGTAGAAATTATTCCACCTGAAAGTAAAAACGAATTTATGGGTGAGACTGAAATCCCAGTTGAAATGAAAAAGAAACAATGATGCTGAAAAGCTGAAAGTAAAACTCAAGTAAATCTTGATTATGAGAACATAGAAGAGAAAGAATATATTGCTGAAATTGGAAACGAGAAGGAAAAAGTAGATGATAAAAAGAATGACTTAATAATCCATAAGGAAAGTATGAAAGCTGATTTAGTAACTGAAAATGAAAATGTAAATCACACAGAAGCTGCAGATCTTGAAACTGAAAATAAACTTGCAGATAACAGTGAACTATTACAATTTACTGAAAAAGAAATTCTGGATGATAACAGAAACAAAAAGTACAATAAGGACAGCATAGATACTGTTGAACTGGGAGATGAAAAAGAAAGTGTGGATTATACAACAAAAGTTGAAACTGAAAAGGAAAATGTCATCCACAATGAAACTGAAAACCACAGAAACCTTTCAAGTTCAAGGGTGAAAACATGGAAGATTGAACAGAAAGTTATTCGGATGACATCGAAGAACTGGAAGACGAGAAAGAAACGGAAGGAATTGCTGAATTAATAGAAGAGCCCGAGTCCGAGGTAGACGATCTACATCATGTTGATGAAGAATTATTAGAAAAAGCAGGAGAAAAAAAATTGCTGAGATTTTTTTTACTTTATAGGACTTTCACCAAGCACAGAAATCCCATATTTGAAGAAATTGATAAAGTTGAAACAATTGATAAATGGTATGAGCTACTTGACAAAGCCATTGGAAAGATAGAAGAGAGGAAAGATGATAAGGAACAACAGCTACTAGGATTGCCTACCATAGGTGAGAATGATAATGAACATAAGCCATTTACAAAAGAAATGCCCATAAGCATTTTTCAGCAAGAAATTAACGCCCTGTCAACAACGATGGTCAACCATCGAACGAGAAGCATTTTGTGTCATCGAAGCCTTGAAAAAAATTTGACACATGGATTTTTCGGTGCCAAAGTGCAGATTGTGTCTGATCACAATCCCCTCACCTACTTGACCCAAAGCGCCCCTCATGGTGCTAAACTGTCTCGTTGGGCCTTAAGCGTTACAACGGTATAACATGACTGTGACATACCGCAAAGGAAGTTCACATGGGAATGCTGATGCTTTGTCAAGGCTAGCTGTTAACTCTTTTCTCTCTCAATGAACTCTGAGCAACATTGTCTCTACGGTGACGAATGTGCTTCTTGTGGGGGGACTTGTAAAGATCGTGACTTGTAAAGATCATGACTTGTGAAGATCGTGACTTAAAGAGAACGTGAAATATAAATAATAGGACAAGAACTTGCATTTTTTACGGTGTGGCAACAAGAAGAGGATTCGAAAGATTTTTATATATTTTGTTTTAGAGAGTTTAAGATTTTGAGGTATTTTTAATAGTTGTAAGAGTTTTAACTGCAGTAGTTAAGAGTTTAAAAATTTTGATAGTTTAGAGCTGCAGTATTTATTTTTTTGGTTCTGTTTTAAAATTTAAATAAAAGTATTTTGTTTATTCTGAAAATTAGCTTTGTTCTTCCTACAAGGTTCAATATCCGTTATATTGAAATAAGGAAAGGATTTTTACTGTATGAAATAACAAGTTTATAAAATCTCAAGTGGGTTGGTCTTGATCTTAATTTTCATGATAGTGAATTTCAAGAAGTGCAAATACCAACACCCTCTTTGTTTTAACACAGCAGGCTTTAATAACCCACACTCTGGCAAAGGATAAGAATAATATTCAACTATAAAGCAAATGAATTGTGCTTTTTTATCTTTCCTTTACTATCAAAAGTGAAAATACAAATTATTTCCTTCTAATGACTGCAAAATATACAAACAAATGATTGATACATTAGAATTTGATTACCTAACCTTTAATTTTCATCCAATCAATCATGCGCGTGCATGTGCGTGTGTTAAAATTCAAAATAGCTAACAGAAATATTATTTCAAGAATTGCTGTAATATATAGTTTGGGGTATGGTACATATGCCATCATCAGGAGGGCCTACCAAAGTCATCCAAAAGCCACAGCATCCCTGAAGGATTAATACAAGGTGCATAGATATAAAATGAATGGAGAACTCTATCAGGACTTTGCTGCTGTGCCTGGAACAACAATTTACTAAACTAATGCAGTTGCCCAGCATAGCAGGCCTGATATCTGATGGCCAGCAAGAGCTCTTTTGTAGAGCAAGGTAGTCTTGGCAATTCTTGGCCACACAATGTCTGGAGCCATGTTCTCTTCAATGATAAGTTGAGATTCAGTACACAGAGTGATTCTGTGTGCTAAGACAAAATATTAAAGCAAATATTTCAAAATGTTTCAAAAGCTATGTATACTTACCATCAGTTGTTGTCAAGGTTCTTGTTACTTTCCTCTGTGGTGTTACATGTTTGATAGAATGGTGATTCTTTAAAGCAGAAATACTTTTCTCCATAATAGTAGGTTGTAACTTTAAGAAGAAAGGTGGCAATGAAAAAAAATAATTAGTATGACTTAAATAAATAAAAACTACTAAAGAAAGCTAATAAAAAATAAAATAAAATAATACATTCTTAAACTTATTGCATCGCAGTAATATAGTAATAAATCACAATGAAACCCACTTCCATTTTTACTTTTCCTGATTTAAATACCATCTAACCTCAGTTTCTTAATTAAATACTTGTTCTAATAATTTTGGACCAAGATGAAGACAACATTGTATTATCCCCAATTTAGCAATGAACTTTCTCTATTTAAAGATAATATTTTATAAAATTCAATATCCTCTAAACACAAATCTAGCAAACATACATGGCATTTCCCACGTACTTCATAGTTTTCTACCTTTTCTTTATTGCAATTCATATTTGCACATATAATGTTACAAATTACACAAGTTACAAAAATACATGGCATTTCCCATCTACTTCATAGTTTTCTACCTTTTCTTTATTGCAATTCATATTTGCACATATAATGTTAAAATTACACAAGTTACAGTTTGCAAATCTCAAATCGCTAAAGAAATTTATGAAAAGAATGCCAAGAAAATATGCAGGGAAACAAAACATTAAAAAATGCAAAGAGATAGTAATAAAAGAAGTAGGAGATTTATTCAAAGGAATTCGGATAGCACTTTTCTGTTCCTGCACAGAATTAAACTCAACTAGAATTTGCCAAAATGAGCTGCATTTGGGATCAAATATTACAGAGTGGAACAAAATTCTTCAAAAATTTTTCATTGTCAAAATAAATGATGAAATGAAATGAAAACCAAATTGACAATTAAAAGTCTCCAGTCCACATCATTACCAAAGCTCCATGGCACTAACTGAATCTTTTTTGCAGTGGAAAAAAAACAAAAGTTCCACATTTGTACTTACTTACATTTTTATACAATAACACACTCACTTTAGTGCTGTTCTAGTCCAGTTTCCAATGAATCAACAAAAGATCACAGTACACCACTTTATCATATTTCTCAGAAATAACATTGTGTGATTTTTACATAACAATATGCATCTGAAAGAATAACTCCAGAGCCATTAGTTTTTTCAGCACTATGAATGCATTCATGCATTCTGCAATGGAGATGCAAGCATTCATAAAAAGACATTGTCAGTGCCTATATCAATTGTACAGTACAAAGTCTTTAATCCAGACTCGTCGGGATTTCGGATTAGGGTTTTTTCCGGATTATAGATCATCAATTTAAATCTGGCAAGATAACATGCAGAAATTATACAATTAAAAATATGAAACCGTAATTTATGAAATAAAGAGGAATTATGATCTAAAGGGTATAAAAAAAAAAAAAAAAAAAAAAAAAAAAAAAAGCTCAATATTTATTTGTTTACTTTATTAAACATTTCTTTCAATGTAAGTTGTTTAAGTTGCTTCGTTTTTGTGCTTATACTTTCTCTTTAATTCTATAAACAGACATAATTTCTTGTTCAGTTACAAAGTTCCACTGTTCAAGTCCTGTAATTGCTGTATCGAGAATACCGACTAACTTGTCAATTGAAATTTTTTCATTTTCAATACCCTCTCTGTCACTTTCTTCACTATCAGAAGCGGTACATCGAAATATACCTTTGCTTTGTAGATCCTTTGGCAGCTCCAGAATCGGAAACTCTTTTTGACATAATCAAAAGTTCAAGCTTACTTTTTATAAAATTGGGGCCCACCAGCGGCCGAGTTGTAAAATCGCTGAACACTGGTAGTTCAGTCCGAGGTTCGAATCCTGCGAACGGGCTGGCTGCATGGGCGTTTTCGTGGTTTTCCCCATGTGTAACGTGTATACAAGCCAGTTTCCCTTAGAAAGTCCTCCACGAAGGCATCCCTCCCCTTAGGCAGATAGCCCTAGTGTGCTTTGCCATATTCTCAATACACCAATTTTATAAAATTGCTTTAACAGTCTGCAAAAAATAATAAGCCGAATCCAATTAGAAGACTAAGGAACAACACCATCTGCAACATTAACTGAAATAGATAATTAGATAACTTTAGTCCAGTTTATACTGTCCGTTTTACCTTAAACGTGCATGCGTAAACGTATTATGGGCATGCGTAAAGGAATTATGTACATGCGCAGAAAGTTTGTAGCTTTGAGGTCCGGATTATAGATCATTCTGGATTATGGACGTCCGGATTAACATTAGAATTACGGTGGTCTTCGTATACCTAGAATTACGGCAGGTGTCATTTTGACCCCTTGATAAGATATCTGCATATTTCTCTATATGATACAATATATTTGTGAAAAAGAAATTAAAATAACGCAAATTATGACAACTACAGTTTATTTTAAAGAATATAGAGACTTTGAAGGTGTATAGTCAAATAATGAACAAGCATTTAAATATTTCCATCGGAAAATGTAATTTTTTTTTTTTTTTCATTTTCTATAGCTTACATTTCAGAAACACAGAAAATAAAATGTATAAATATTTACGCAAATTTTTCCAAAAAAGTGGTTTTTAATCCAAATATTAAAGTATTTTAAAACAAACTTTTTGCTATAAAGAGTACATAGAAATAGAAATATATAGAAATATTTTATTTACAGATAATATATTAGTCAGTGCAGCAATTAGCAAACATGCTTATCTTTCTGAGCTTTTTGTGTACAATATCCGCATACATATTTATTACAGTTGTCTCAAATATTAGAAGTTTTGTTACCTTTGCACTTGCTTACTTGAAATTTCTTCCTTTTTTTTTTTTTTTTTTTTTTATTCAAAAGGTATTCACCAGAATCTGATGATTTGTGTCCATCCACAAGGCCACTTGAAGAGAGAACAAATTGGTTTTTACTAGATATATATTCTTCTCTAAGTTTTTCTGCCAAACGCAATAGAAAATCCCTTTTGTTGATATTTTCTTTCTTTCTTTCTTTTTTTTTTTTTTTTTGTAACTTCCTTACACAAAATCCAAGCATTTATGCATGCTAAGTCCAAAATATTGTAAAATACATGTACTGGCCAACGGCGTGATGGTGCTTTCACAGAGTACTTTCTTGCCTTTTGAATTCAAAACATCTACCCCGAATTTCGTAGAATTGTAAAACTGTATTACATCAGGAACCTTCTTTTCATTAGATTCAAATTCAACTGATGAATAGAGTGCACTTAACAAAAATACGTTTTTGTTCCTTTTACTTTGATATGATGTAACTGTTATATAGTCGTGTTTCATCACAACTGAAGAAAAAAGTTTGTTTCTTACATTTTTGAAAATAGAGGGAATTTCTCTTTTTGCACGATTTACTGTTCCAACATGACTCAATCCTTTTGATTTTAGGAATTTCGCAAGTTTTACTGATGTAAAGAAACTGTCTGTAGTTAGCCAGTAGTTTTGTAAGTATCAACTAAACAATTTACTACGTTCTCTCCTAAACTCTGATCACTTGGTCTCATTTTATCTTTTCCTAAATATGGAAATCTGTTTAATAAGTATTTTGTCCTAACCTCTACTGCTAGCCAAAATTTTATTCCGAATTTATCGAGTTTGTTAGGCATATACTGCAAAAAACGGCATCTTGTTTTTGTAGGGAATAACTGTTCATCAATCGTAATGTTTTCATTTGGTTTGCAGCAAAGCTTACAGTTTTCTATAAAAGTATTGCATACTTCTTATATTAGTGCAAATTTATAACACTGCAAACGTGAAGACCTTGTTAGTTTATTATCAAAACGAAGAAATTTCATCCTTTCCAAAAACCTATCTCTACTCAGAGTTTAATGAAAAACTTTGGTCCCCAAGTCTTGGACCGCAAACCAAGAATTGATAAGCCTTTGACTGCTAATGCCCCCCCCTTACGTACAACAACACTATGAATGCTTCCAGTTCTGCTAATAAAATAGTGAAAGAGTCATTATATAGTTCACGCTTGGCTTCAGCATCAGTACACTCCTTTATGACGCGTAAATTTTTTTCATTTATTATTAACTTCCGTGCACTAAGAGCTTTACCAGAACAAATGCGACATTTAGCATAGGATGTCTGTCCTTCCTTTTTCTCGCAAGATATTTTGCAAGGGTCGACCAGAAGTATTTGAAGTATTTTCTACTTTCCATACAGTTCCATCACTAGCAATTCCTTTACAAGTGTTAGTCTGAATTACGCTGAATTTCATATTCTCTTTTGAGCATCTACTATTTCCCACTTTGGCATTCTTAGGTACGGCAGAATTTGAACTCGTAGAAACAAATCCATTTGTACTTTTGCTTGAGCTAGAAGATGATATTGCCTGATTACTCTATATAATAAATTCAGAATCACAAGATGTTTCATCTCCATCTTTATCTGTAGAATTATTTTCGATTTCAGAACCAGAATCGGCTTCAGATAGTTCTTGCATCAGTTTCACGATTTCTTCATGTGTTAGGCCTTTTTGAGCCATTAGTACGTCACTATAATAAATTCATGTAAATAGAATAAAATTTTCCACTAAAACTTGTTATGAATAATAAACAAAATATCTACAAAAAATCTACAAACAGTCAGCTTGCAATAATCTCTTTTCTCTGTTTTCTTTCCACAAAGAAAAGTATTGCACATATTTCAAATCATGTGACTGGCAGATATGAAATTACGCAGACCCACCATATTCTTTTTCTTTGTTTGTATTTTGTTTAGCAGGTGCAAATAAAAATAGTTTACAGAAGTAACAGTGTTCAGATAATACATTGGAATGTATTCACATTTCTTTTCTCTCAAAGGGGTCAAAATGACACCTACCGTATTTCTAGGTATAATCATTTGTTAGGGCTAAAATAAAAATATGATTTTCTTGAAATCTTTACTATTTCATAAATCACAATGATTTAGGAAAAGTCGAGAAATGATTAAGATATTTGAAAAAAGAAAAAAGAAGAGCTGTCGAAGATAAAAGTCGCTAGGTGTCAAAATGACCCCTTCCATAATTCTAGTGTTAAAGACATCGTATTGTATAAATAATGGCAGACGAGCAACAGCAAAGTAAGAAATTACTTTAAAAATGGATCAACATAGGACAACTATTTAATACCAATCCATTCTTATTTGCATTATGTATCTACATCCATAGAAACAGAATAAACAGAACACCATAAACAAATATAGCTATGAAATGGTATTTTCATGTACATTTCCCTTTCTTATTAAAGATTAAATAAAATATACTAAAAATACCTGTAAAACTTCAAAATCACTTGGAAAGCTGCTTGCTGGATTATTACGTGGTAAAATATGCCATGTATCAGGATTATATTGCTTCAAAGCAGCTTGAATAAATTTTACACGAGCATCAGGTTTATAAAATTGCTTGAAGCTTACAATATATTCTGTAAAAGAAATAACTTATGATAGCACATGAGCTTTCACATAAACGATAAAAGAATATATTTCATACATTTACAACTTAAAAATATAAAAACAACAAAATTGTTTAATATTTGCATTAGTTGATCTTTAATGTACGGTAACCCTTAGTTTGTGTGAGAAAAAATTGCCAAGTGGTACTGGTTGTTCATGGAATCTGGAAGCCCACTGCATGAAATAGGTTTTTTGGTAACCCTAATATTGATAATTTTGCCGAAACTAGCCTTGGGGAAAATTGTGCAATTATCGCTAAATGTGTTGTGATAAATTGAGATTTTGGCTATTCTATGTAATAGTAACCCTTTTGTATGAACCAGGGTTTTTTTATTCTTAGCATTCTTTTCGATTTCTGTGCTTAGTTGCATGTGCGTTGGTGGTTGTATTTTGACATGGGTACCATAATTTGAGTATGTCTGACGTTACGACTATAATTTCTGACTGCTGGAAGGCATACAATTGCCTTTCAGATGACGGCTTTGGATACCTAAAAATAAATCATAGTCTTCAATTTAAGGATCCGGATACAGGTGCTGACATTAATAAAATAGAAGGAACATGCAGTGCAGTTAAACGCAGTTTAGCCAAGAGGAAAACGAAGGTTGGCTTGGACTATTATTTGGCTGAATATGTATGGCGCAAGAAGGTCCAGGGGGAAAAAAATCTATTTATAGCTTTCTTGGATGCTGCCATTAACAGTGGATGAGCTAAAGTGGCCAAAAATTTAATTGAATTGCTTACGTGGAGGACAGAGGAGAGGTGGTGGAGAGCGTGAACGTACGCACGTGAAAAAAAGGTATGTAAAAAAATTTACGTTTTATTTATTTATTCATACCTGTGCATTAATTTTTGTTAAAAGATTTGTTGTTTAATGTTTTTATGATAGGAAATACACTGGTTATCATAAATTAAGGAAAAATCACAAAAATAGCGATAACTCCCTCAAAAATATGCCAAACCGTGTAAAATTTTAATATGTTGAGAAGTATGAGTAGCTGAGTAAAACTCCAATATGCAAATTAGTGGCGCTGACCTCGGAATACGTCATCTGCAAGGAGCATAAAAGTCCATGTTTGAGAGCAAGCATACATATTTCACTGTGATAGTGACATCAGAAATGTGAGATAGCCAATTCGTAACAATGACCTCTAGGCATCATTTGCCTGCAGAACTACAATAGAAAGCCACTGGGAGACTAGAAGCAGGACAAAGTCAAACAGAAGGGGCCAGATGGCTAAATGTGAGTCCTTCTGTGGTTCATAGACTTTGGAGGCAATTTCAAACCACAGATTCGGCACCTAGGAGGTTCAGCCAACGACAGCCAACTGCTATGACGAGCGCTTATGACCGATATTTGACATTATGTGCCCTCAGGAACAGAACCGCTACTCCAACTCTTCTTATTTATCTAAGAATCTCAATACTGTCTTGATCTGTTCTCCCAATGCACCAGAGCACATAAGCTTCAGATTTCGACAGAGAAAACTAAAGCTTTACTCATAGGACGCAGCAGGCAGCTAAGACGCAACCCAAGCATTAAACTCCACGGGATACCGGTAAAATGTTCCCCCAATTGAAATATCTTGGGCTATTACTCGACAACAGACTTTCTTGGATGCCACATGTCAGGAATCTTAAGACTCGAATTAGCATCCTAAGCAACAACATGAGACGCATGACTTCACATAAATGGGATATCTCATCTTATAAGCTACTAAAAATTTGGCATAGAACCATTACAGAAAGAGTACTAACTTACGGAAGCAGCAATCTGAGGTGGTGAACTTACCTCTCATATGAGAAGATCCCTGCACTCTATTCAGAGACAGCAGCTACTTTCATGTATGCAGGGCCATACCGTGCCACGTCAACACTAAGCCCTACAAAAACTGGCAGGAATTCCTTCCCTAGATTTGAGAGTAGAAAGGGAGGCAGCTATCGTAAGGAGTTACCAGTGTTGGGTCAAACTTCAACACTCTGGGGTTCATAATTAATTCACCACTCGAACTACGAAGAGCAAAACATCTGCAATAACTTTCATCCAGCAGCTTTTAATCTCTCCAACGGTATCAGCGTAAACGACCAACCAATTCAGAGGCTACAGCATTAACCTTTTCACAGGATAGCTCCAGAACGGAAGATCGGAACGGGCAGCGCCTTCTGTAGACTGGAAAATGGAGTTAGTTATAACATTCGAGTGGAAAAGGAAATTAGGCTTGAACAACTCGGTATACCAAGCAGAGCTTCTAGCTATCAGTGCTGCAATTAGATATGCGAACACATGTCAACAGGAGAAATTCTCCATACTCAGTGATTTGGCATCAAGTCTGGCGGCTATCGCAAGTCAAAACAGCCGGAGTCCTTTGGTATACAGAATTCAGAAACAGCTTCTGACAATGCCTATTTCGCAAAGACCCACTTTAAAATGAGTTCCCGCTCACACAGGGATTCAAGACAATGAAGCCGCTGACCTACTGGCCAAGCAGGCAGCCAACTGCACGGATATATTAGAAAGACCAACTAAACTTCCTTGGTCTCATATTAAGAGAACAACTTTGACAAGTCTGCTACAAAATTGGCAAAGTAGATGGACAGAGGCAGAGGTAGGATGAAGGACATTTCGCTTACTGCCAAAAAGTTAACATGGAAATAAAGACCCACTGTGCTAGCCTAACACAGTTCTTGACAGGTCATGGACCATTCCCAGTATACCTGAACAGATTCAGACTAGGGATACCCTTTCTGTGAATGCGGAGAGGAAGGCGATACGGACCATGATTACTTCCATTGTGTACATACAAGAAACTGGCACTTGAAGAAACCAGCGGACTGTGCCTGGACAATGTGGATGAATAACACACTCAAAAACAGAATAGCCCTTGATAAAATAGAGAAAATCTCAAGGCACTGCCTAAGCAGAAACAATCGTGGATAATATTATAATGTTCAGAACTTAAAGCAGATAACCAGAATAACGCTTAGTGCCTTGCAGTTATCAATATGTAAAAACTGTTATTAGTATATAATATTCAACCTTGTTACTCTGGAGTCTTCCCCGCCGTGATCGTATATAATTCCGTTTGGTTCATGTCCGTGGTCGTAAGCCATCATAGCAGTGCAATCACTCACTCACTCTTTTGCTGCAGCCACCGGAAGGTTGGTGTCAACGTCAACTGTGCATAGAAGGCTTCATGAAGGTGGTCTGTATGCGAGGCGAACAGCTATTTGTGTGCCACTCAAGTTACGCAATAGGAGGGACCGTTTGCAGTGGGCACAACAACATGTCCACTGGGCGCCTGAGCAATGGAGGGCTATTCTTTTTATGGATGAGTCCAGGCTTAGTCTAGAAAGCGATAGTAGGCATTATTTTATATGGAGAGAACCTGGAACCCGTTATTATCCGTCAAACATCCGTGAAAGAGATGTTTATGGAAGAGGCAGTGTCTGTGTTTGGGGTGGCATCTCTTTGGGTGGACACACAGACCTCCATGTTTTTACAAGGGGAACCGTGAATGCTCATGTTTATAGAGATGACATCCTTGATGCTTATGTGCACCCATAAGTCGAGGAAATAGGTGATGCTTTCCTTTTACAGGACGACAATGCAAGACCACACAGGGCTCGTATCTTATATGATTATGTTCAACAGGAAAACAATTATGCACATGGAGTGGCCAGCTCAGTCCCCGGACTTTAATCCTATCGAACACGTTTGGGATGCTTTAGGGAGATGTCTAGTTGCTCTCAATCTGCCTCCTACGACTGTGTTCAGACGGTGGTGTAAAGGGCATAGAGGCGTAGTCATAAGGGCATAAAATACGGGAATTCCATTCACACTTGCGAGATTGGGGTGTAAGCCATGGCCAATGAAAGAAGCTAAATTTGCGCATGCATGGTTATCCCAAACTTACTGTAAAGTTGAAAACTTTGAACCCTATGCCATGAGCCCTAAACCAGATTTTCTAGAGGTGATTATATTCCATATTGAAGGTACTTTTACCATAGCAAACTGACATCTTCGATTTGTTCATTTTATACATGTGCTAATTTCTATGCTACAATAATTGTCTGGTAATTTCTTTTTATATTATTTGATACCTTACTATGTGTTGTATATTGTGGGTAAGTTTCATAAAATTCTACAAGTAACTTTTTCAGTAATCGTGATTTTTCCTTAATTTATGATAACCAGTGTATATATTTTTGGTTATTTGTTACTCTGTGTATTTTTGGTTATTTGTTTGTTAAGACAGTGGCGAATTTTTTCTGGTTAACATGATATTTTTAACTTTGCTTTAGCTTCTTGATTTAGTTCAATTGAAAATAAATTGATGTATACATGGACAAAGTTAAGGCAGTGCACAATGTCTAGTTTGTGCAGTTCTCCGATTTTTTTATTTTTATTATTTTTTTTAAATAGGCCGATGTGTACATGCATACCGAGTTCAAGTCTTTGACTTCTTGTTTTGGTTTTGTGTAGTGGGTGGAAGGATCGGCAATATCTTGAAATTGGTGCCGGTCTTGGTGTAAAAAAAAGAGACGATTTGCCAAGGGGTACCGTACATTTTAAATATTTGCATCATATGCTCAAACTTAAATTTATAAAATATGGAAAACTTTGCTGTAAATTTGAGCCAGTTTTTCTTATACAAGATGACAAATTTATACAAAGGCATTCTTCATTTTTAGGCATGTAGTAAAAAGAATGTAAACTACAAGAGCAATACAAAAAATACTATCTTAGCACTTCCTGTTAGCAAAAGAAGATGCAAATACGCAACACACTGGTTGTTTAGTATATAGATTCTTTTGCCATATGGTAAACAGTAACCCTACACAGCTACCTCTGATGATTATTATGAAATCGGAGGAGAGTTGTCTTGCAAATGCAAAATGACTGATTCATAACCGCGAAAGCAAGTTATTTTATACAATAGCAGTTTCAGATCAACCATAATATTCTGAC